AAAATTAATATATATATATATATATATGAGGGGGTTATAATTATACCGGTGTAACTTTTATTAAGTATTACACTACTCAACAACTTTAGGGGTGTATTGTTTAGGATTTCATAGGATTTTAAAAGATTTTTTTTGAATAAAAAAGTCCATTGGTATTCAATCAGGATTTTATGTCACTTAAAAACAATACAGTGGTATTCAATATGGATTTTCAAGATTTTTTAAAGAGTCCATTAAAATCTATCGGTATTCATTTGAGATTTTTTACAACTTAAAAACAATCCATTGGTATTCAAAAATATAAGAATTTTAAAGGATTGTTATATTAGAGGGATTTTGAAAGACTTTCTAGTGTTATCTATAAATACCAAATTCATAAAACAATCCCATCCAAACCCATCAAATTTTGAAGGATTGTTTGAAGTGACTTTTCAAGTGCTTCAAGAATTTCCAAGTGAATTTTTCATCTTTGTTTTCTCTATGCTTCTATCTTCTCCATTTTTTTCTCTGCTAATAATACTGCACTACTGTTCATTGCTTATATATAATACTGTAGTATTTTTCTTATTCCATTCCCCTATTTTGTGAAGCTCCAATATGTAAATGAAAGTGTCATTGACTTGCTCTATTTTTCTCTTCGTTCTCTTTAATTGAGCTACTCTATTTTATAACACACGTCAAGAAAAGGAAAAGGTGAAAGATGAAATTGATATCATAATCTCTACAATATATGTATATATATATATAAAAGATGAATTTGAATTAGGATTTCTGTGAGTAAAATGAGATGAAAATGGATCTTAGTTGAGGGGAAAACCCTCTCAGCATAAAAACTGCGATCTCTCTCATTCTCTTGAGTTTGTTACTCTTATCCCTCCTTCTTTTATGACTAAACAATTATTTTATTTTTTTTACTATTAAGTTTTTTAAATTTTTATATTATGAAATTAAGATTTTTTTATATTTAAAAAAAAGAAAATTAACATAAGACATTGCAGTATCTAATTTTTTAGGGTTTAGGGTTTATGATTCCATTAACTTATTTTTAAAAAAAGGAAATATTGTTAAAATATTTCTTAGACTAATTTATATTTATAAATATTGTTAAAAAATTCTAATATAATATATAAATAAAATACTTATATATATATATATATATCTTCATCTTCAACATTACCTGTTAATGAAAATCATACTTTTGAGCTTATTATTCAAACTCATGAGCAAGAGCGAGAAGACGCTAATGCTTAGAGGATTAATATAGCTATGGATATGTGGGTGAATGTTATTTTAGAGGATATGATATTATAGAGAATAATAATAATAATAATAATTATTATTATTATTATTATTTATTTAGACATTGTTATTTTTTTTTTTTGTCTTTGACTCTTTTTAAATTTGAATTTATGAATTTTTTTTTTTAAAATTTTATCATATGTCAAAAATCCACGAAAATTCTACAAAATCCACAAAGTCCCGTAAAATCCATTAAAATCCTGATTTAAAAGTCTTGTAGAATCCATTAAAATCCTGATTCAAAGTCTTGTAGAATCTTTCAAAGTCTTAAAAGTCATGAAAATCATGCAAAGTATTTTAAAATCTGCAGGATTTTTTTAACTAAAAAAGTCCTTTAAAATCCTAATCCAATACACCCCCCTTATATTAATTGTGAATTTTGTAAATCCAACCGTTAGATTGAAAGTTCATATCACTTTATACGTGTATATCAAATTTTGTTAAAATTGAACAACAACTTGAAGGTAATCAAAGTGTTCATATTCTAGTGTATTTTGAAATAAATATATTACGTCAATTTTGTTTTATAAAAATGAAGTATCAAATCATCTTGGATTAATATAAAATTTTGTATCTATGATCTAAGAGTAAAGAACTTTCAATCTAACAGCTGTATTTACAAAGTTCACATTTAATATAAAGTTATTAAGTGGTGTAATACTTAGTAAAAGTTATATCAGTGTAATTATATAGAGGGAGTTATAATTACACCGGTGTAACTTTTACTAACTATTACACCACTCAATAACTTTATATTAAATGTGAATTTTGTAAATCCAACCGTTAGATTGAAAATTCTTTACTCTTAAATCATATATACAAAATTTTATATTAATCCAAGATGATTTGATACTTCATTTTTATAAAACAAAATTGATGTAATATATTCATTTCAAAATACACTAAAATATGAACACTTTGATTACTTTCAAGTTGTTGTTCAACTTTAAAAAAATTTGATATACACGTATAAAGTGATATGAACTTTCAATCTAACAGTTGGATTTATAAAATTCACATTTAATATAGATTTATTGAGCAATGTAATACTTGGTAAAAGTTACACCGATGTAATTATAACTCCTATACATACATACATACATATATATATACATACATATATA